TTTCTCACTTTTCTTCTCTCCCTCTGATCAAACTGGAAAATAATAATAAAAAAAGTTAAATAAAATAATAATTAAAAAAAAGAAAATACCTTAAATAGTAACCAATAACTAAATTATCTCATACTGGGTCATCTGTATGGCTTAGTGGTTAAGGGAATTAGATCCTTCATAGCAGACTGCGTTGTTTGAATCCTAGCCCTGTGGCTTGAGAATCATGCCAGGTGTATGTGCCCCAAATCCCAAAAAGGTGGAGAACTGAAGAGATCCTGTTGTGACCATGCCCATTGTGGGTGCTCTTCCCCACCATCCCCTTTGGTTAATGTACAACAAGCCTTCTGGAAAGATTTTTAAAAATTCATATTGGTTTATCAAGCTGATTTTCAGCTAAGAGACAGTCAAAGGTGTTATTTCATACAATCACAAGGTGAAAGGTGTCTAGAAAGGAATGGAGCAGATAACAAGAATGAAAAGTAAGCATGGGGTGATTAGAAAGGCAACACAGGTATACGGTAATCATTTAGTTTCAGGCTTTTAGAGATGCTTTGCAATTTATAGATCCATATTCTTAGTAAATGTGAAAGCCATACACTACCTCAAAGAGAGAACTCGCATACTGAGAGTAGATCACACAAAGGGGTAGTGTGTCTGGATCTGAGGGCATTAACTACCATAAACTAACAGAACAATGTTTTTCTAGTTTAGTATGTACTTCTCAAATTTTTTCCACAGGGTGTACGTGCTTGCCAGCGAGACAGAGAGGGAAAATGAGAAATCACCCCCCCAGGGGAAAAGGCCATCCTGCAGTTTCTTCTCCATTCTCCTCTTGGGATTTTGGGCATATGTGCCCCAGTGTGATTCTCAAGCCAACAGGTCCAGGACTCAAATGGTGGTAGGCTATCTGGGAGTTTAGCCCCTTAACCACCACACCACCTGCTGGCCCCTTAGTGTATAGTGTATACTTTCAATTCACAAACCAAATGTTTTCAAAACAACCATGGCCAATTCAGACTCACTATACACATTATTTTAATTTTTTTTTATTATAGAAAATTTCGAAGTTATACATGAGATTAATGGTAATGTATAATATAGATACATCACTCATCCACCCACTACAAATGTTTGAGCTTTTCCAACTGTACCTTGAATATGCAAAATAATCTTAGAGTATAAACTTTAAGAATGTTTTCTCAACAATGTGTCCAAAGTATTGCTCAAAAGAAACCCAATATTGAACATCTCTAACTTAAGGGATACTGATCACTCAGATGTGGCAAATGAAGGTATTTTCACTGAGCCATTTAGGTACACAGGTGATACTAAGTTTCAAAGTTTGTCTTATCTCCAAAATTGATTTACTGTTTGAAATTGTACCAGATTTTTTAAAAATTATTTATTTTTATTAATTAATATTATTATCTTTAGATTTTGCCATAGGGTAAATACACTCTCCAGAGAGACAGAGAAAGTGAGAAATCATCCCCAAGGGGCACTGGCCACTCCACAATCCCTTCTTCATTCTCTTCTTGAGTTCTTGGGCACAAATGCACATGGACCCAGCATGATTACTGTGATTTTCAAACACTGGGTCTGAGACCATGGAGTTGTGGGATCTAGCACCTTATCCACCATGCCACTTGCTGGTCCCAAATTGTACCAGGTTTTAAAACAAATATGATCACTCACTGTGGACTAGACACTGTGCTTCTAAGGACATGTTTAAACCCACAACTTCCAAGGCCACTGAAGCAAATAATTGACATTAGAAATAAAAACATGGCTGGGAAAATTCAGAGATTACTGGGGCTGGGCTCATAGGTGCTGTGGTAGTTAGGGGCACTGGACTCCCACATGGATAGGTGCTGTGATAGTTAGGGGCACTGGACTCCCACATGGCTGACTGGGTCCCGGACCTGGTAGTTTGCTTTCTCACTTTCCTTCTCTCTCACTCTCTGGTCAAGTTTAAATAAATAAGTAGAGTTAAATAAAATAATAATTTTTTCTTTTAATTCAGGTATTAGTATCCACTCATTTAATAAAGATTGGCCTGGGGCCAGCAGGTGGTGTGGAGGTTATGGTGCTAGACGTACACACGGCTAACTATGGTTCCAATCCTGGACCCAGTGGTTTGAAAATCATGCTGGGTGCATATATATGCATGCCCCAAATCCTCAGAGAACAAGAAGGGATTGGGGAGTGGCCGCCCCCAGAGGAGTGGGGTTTGGTAGCCTCTTATTTTTTGTCTCTTGCCAGCACCTATGACAAAAAGCTATTAAAAAAAAAAAGAGAGAGAGAGAGAGAGAGATTGGCCTGATTGGACAAACAGGAGTTTTGGTTGAGGGAGGTAGACACAAGGGAAAATAGGCAATTTTAGAGCATGGCCTTCTTTGGGGGAAAATTCTTGGATGACGTGTTCTAGTGGTGATACAAGGCAAAATTAATCATAAATGTAATAAGAATTGAGAGCAGAGCTGTAATACGAAAGATAAAAAGGTATATGTTTTGGGTGAATTATTAAAACTCTTAAGCTTTGTTTTTCCTCTACACCAAAATGAAGTAATTTACCCCAGCATTATAATGAGGATTAAGGCATTTAACATACAGCCCCACATACAATAAGCATTCTCCTACAATGGATGGTCCCCTGTCCCCAAGCTGGTATTTCTTACTTATTTTTAACCATTTATTTTATTATTTTTAAATTTACTATACAGCACACGTGCTCATCAGACAGAAAGAGTGAGAAAACAAGAAAGCAAGCTGCCAGGTCCAGGATTTAAACTGTTGTCCGGCATTTGTGGGAGTCCAGTGCCCAACCCCATGCCACCTGCTGGGCCCAGCCAAGCCAGTATTATGTAACTTCCTGCTTTTGTAGAATGGCCTGACAAGGCTGAAGTTGTCCTCATTATGTGATATTCAATCTACTAAAAAGTTAAGCTCTTGGGGCCAGCAGGTAGCATGGAGGTTAAGGGGGCTGGATTCAGCATGGCCAACTCAGTGGTTCAATTTCTGAACTCAGTGGCTTGAAAAATCACTCTGGGTGCATGTATGTGCATGTATGCATGCTCCAAAACCCAAAAGGACAGAGAAGCAGAAGGGATGGTGGGGTGGCCATCTCCACTGCCAAGAGATGATTTCTCACTTTTCTCTCTGGCAAGTGAAAATGCCCTATAACAAAACCAAAAAAAAATTAAAAATAAATAAACTCAAGATATTTCTGGCAATTTCAGAAATTAAAAATTTCCAAATAATGTAAGACTCACAATTTTAAGACACGAGGCCAGCAGGTGGCATGGTGGTTCAGGGCGCTGAACTCCCAGATGGTCAATCTTGTTTTGAGTCCTGGACCTGGTGGCTTGCTTTCTTGCTTTCTCACCTTCCCTCTCCCTCTCTTACTTTGTCCCTCTCTGGTCAAATCAAAATAAATAAATTAAATAAAATAATTCTCAAAAACATTTTTTAAGACATGAAAGATGAATACTGTTTAATTCAATATGCTACCATCATACTTTCAGCTAAGTGGCAAGGGGAAAAAAGTTTCCACAAAAACCATGAGACTAATACTTGAGGGCTATTCATGTACAGATACAATCTTTCTAAAAACAAAGGTCATGCCCTAATTAGATTACCTATTAAAAGGATACTTCAAGGTAACAGATTATCACAAAAACTATCAAAAAAGAAAACCAATGTAGTAGAAAACAAATGTAATTACTATTCAGTCTCCTAAGGATTAGAAATATCAACTAGAAAAACTACTGGGAGTTAAAAAAAAATTGCATTGAATTTCGGAACAACTTCAATATTTAGAGTTGCAAAGAGAAACCTAAAATTGAATGTTTAATGCATAAAGCTCTCAAACCGCCAGTGTCCCAAGAATTAAAAAAAAAAAAAAAAAAAAAATCAATGAAAAAACAACAATTTGGCCTTTTTT